TCAAAATAGTCATGTCAAGGGTTCAGCATCACATGAGCCTGAAAGCCTCGTTCAGACCGGGTCTTTACACGGGTGGAATGCCCCACTACAGTGATCCAAATAGCAAAGCAATCTGGATCGGTCCGATGTTGAATGGGACGCTGACCTGTGCCACGTACACTTGCGGAACTGGCTTCGACGGGTTCCTCTCTCTCTCTCTGACCTGTCGTCGCCACCTAGCCAATCCCCAGCCTGCGAAGAAAAGAAGATGCACCTGGCAGCCATGGCCACTCTCGAGATACTTACATAGATACCCCTTCATGAATCATGAATGACCACATCTGAAATGTGACTGAAACGGCTCTGCTGACCTGCACAAACCTTGTTGAACAAGAAGGACACCGGCACCAGGAATTCCCAAGAATGCATTGTTTATCCTTGTTGGCTTCCCTGTGCCGACGCCCACATGTTGATGGCTCTTCCCTCTCGGTGTGACACCTTCATGCGGTGACATAAGGCCGTTCAAAGCGGCCCGCTGAAGTAAGCAAAGCCTCAGGTGCGACCGAGTTGTGTCCTCCTTCACGAGGTGATCTCCACCTCTTCGCATCCCAGCCCTGTGAAGAGGCCCTCTCTCCGGTCCAAATAGACTGTTCACACCTTGCTGAACGTCCCCTCCCATCTCGAATTCTCCGAACGTCAGCCGTTCTTCCTTAAAACATACTGAAACACATGAAACACTGAAAGACACTGAAAGAAAATCAAACAAATCCTATGCCTTCAGGCACGGGGCGCAACGAGCGGCCAATTCAGGGTGAGGAGTCTACTCCCGGCGCTGCAAGAAATTTGGATCCCCAGCAAGTGTTGGTACTCGATGGCTGTCCGCTCTAACGACTGGTCCTGGTGAAAAGAGCGGATCAGGAAGAGAGACTTAGATGATTGGCCATTATCGTGGGTTGGAGCCCATGTTCATTTCCATGTGGCACAGGTCTCACAGGGGGGGCAATCATCCTACTGACTGGCTTGAGAAACACCATCCAGAATGACTCTTCGGCCTTCACAACTATTGAAATGCAGCCCGCCGTCTTTGCTCTAGGATAACAAAAGTCCGTTTGGAGCATTTAGCGCTCGTACATTGGCGGCATTTCTCAACGACAACATTCTTGGCTCAATCCCAAGGAGTAGTGGTGTTTACAGGATTTGCAAACGGCATTCTCGGGATTTGAGCCAAGCGTCTCCAAAAAAATATATGATGAAAATGTCTATATGTATCCCCAAGCAGGATATATATGGATATCTGATGATATCTGGCATGCCTTTCTTGGTGTAGAAGGATAGGGTAGGCCATCATTGAGATCTTAGAAAGCATTGCTGGCCGGATCTCTCTCTCGTCGATCCGCCTTGGAGTGATGTGTGCCCCCTTCCTGGTGTGGAGGGTGTGGAGGGCGCGGAGGGCTTCCAGTGACCGGAGGGAGGAACTGCAAGGGACAAACGTCCAAAACTCCTTGACAACCTGATTAACCTCAGAAACTCTTCTGAGTTTTAGAGTGATGGTATATGATTCTTGCATGGAACATGTCTGTTCTTGAGGCCAAACAAGCCAGGCGCCGCAAAAGCAGGCTGACCTCACAGTGCTTCTTTTGCGCGCGCGCCTCTCTCTCTCTCTCTCTGTCTCTCTCTCTCTCTCTCGCCCCAGGCAGTGGGTAGCTCTGGGTGACTTGGGTGGAGGCATACAACCTATTGCTCTAAACATGCGTTTGGGTGGATGTATGACGAGAATTCACATCTACGCTGGATGTCGCCAAACTTGGGGATGGCTGATTTCATGCAGAGTGGGTGGGTAGGCTTTTGCTACTGCCACACCTGACTGTCACCAAATTTCCAGGAAGTGTTCGATCTTGTTGCAGCACGTGCCTCCCCTTGAGCCTCCCCTTGCTTCCCCTTGACTCTGCAAGTGTCCGATTTTACTGTAGACACGCCGAGTAGCAGCGTGTTTGGAGGTGATGGGCAACTGCCGAAGTAGCAGCGCCCAAGATCGTGTGATGAAACACGCGCCGCAGAACAGGGATTCCAACTCCTTGCGCTCTGCATCTGAGCAGTGCACGTGGAGTTGCAGGATGTCGAAAGCTGAAAGACCGGCATCCTCTTACGACTTCAAAACTAAGTTTACAAACACGGGCATGACATGTGCAATCTACTCAATCTATTTCCCATAGTCTTGATGTCCCGAAGCCAATGAGCAATTCTGAGATGTCAATTCCTGCAACAAATATGTCATTGAGTCATGAAGCAAAGTCGTTGCTGGTGGCAATTTGCCTCTGCCTCCTACAAATCAATGGTTTTGCTGTACTCTGTACCATGTGTCGACTGCAGCCTACAACCGGAAGAGCCTTCCCCAAAGGACGCGTGGTTGGCCAGTGACCAGTGATTTTGTCTTGACATGCTTCGGCTTCCTTAGCAGCCACTTTTACACAATGCTTGAACATAGGGCATGAGCTCAATTTGTCCGGTAAGTTTGGACTGGACTGGCATAAAGAATAAGAGAGATTGGAAAGCCGGGTCCAAGATCTGGTTGTGGCCCGGAACGGTGCCTTGGACATGAATCAGCCCGGTGCAGGGGAAATATTATGCTCCTGACATGCCAAGGACAGTGATGCAATCCCTGTTCTGTTTCCAGCTTGTCTGCCTTATACCAGTGGTACCGTCCGACAAAAGCTGTTTTATTTTAGGTTGGTTGATCTTTGAAGTGAGGAAGCCCAAGTGCCATCATGCAATTCATCAAGAACGAATTGCCATGCCAGAAGAATGTCTATGTCATAGATGCGAAGTGTGCTAAAACCCATCATCCACTAACCAATGCACTTCAGCAAACAACATCTCTCCACACCTGCGCAGAATGGGGTAGGCTCGGAAAAAGCGGGGGTAGCTACAGTCCTGTACGTTGCTCAATCTATGCAAGTTGTCGCCAGGACCGCACTGCTTCCCAGAAACATGATCAATATATTCTACCTACAGTACCTGAGTGACCCCTTTCTTTGATCACCAAAGCACCCCCCCAAAAGGTCCAGCCTCATTCCATCCAATCAGGGGTGAGATTGGCTCTATGTGTGTTCAATGGTAATCAATACCACGCATATCTTCGGAATCACAAGCCTCCGGTAGCCTTCCGATCAGCTCAACCCTCCGATCGAACTGTGGAACAATGTGGGTTCCCATCTGTTCAGAAATGTACAGTAGCCAGAAGTAGCTGCGGTGCCCAATGACAATGCCAATCCCAATCAAAAGGATATTATATAACACTGTAGCCAGGACAATGGAATCTAGATGCATACAAATGCCTGGAAGACCACCAATCTCCACTGGACGTGAGTGGGCTCTACACATGTGGGGGTGGAGCAGTACTGCGCCCGTCGGACAAAGCGTGAATTCCGGAGTCTCTGCCATCCCTTCGGGAGACAAACCAACCGAAACAGCATGAAACAGCCCTGACATGGCCCCTTTTCGATGCTCAGCCATTGGGGGAGCTCTAGGTGCATGGGGAACTTAGTCATTAGTGGCTCTCAGGGTAAAGGTATGAACCACATCTTTATCATCTTTTCAGTTCACGATTCAAGGCCTGCCAATTCAAATATTGGTGCTACCTTCGGCAGCCCGCTCCCTGGCCTATCCAACAAAACACATCGAACGTGGCAAACAATCCATGCGCTTCATGGCATGAGCCTGGCACTGGTTTACACTAGCTACATTTAAATGAATACGGATATGTCACATGGAAGGATAATTACTGTAGTATGTTTCCTGGGAAGGCGATGTGTCTGTACAATCTGTACTTTTTCCAGCGAGCCAGAGTGCATAGCAATTGCTTCACCCTATTTTGTAGATACGTCCCAAAACACACGAAGCTTCACCTAGCGGTCACCAGCGGATTCCTGACTTCGATGTCTAAACTAATCGACACTGAGCCCTTGAGATACAAATTCCAGTTCCATCAGGCTGGGGAGCATCAAACGTAAATCATCGCAGTCATACAAAAAATGCATACCCTTGAGCTTGGTATGCATAAGTTGATCTGTATTCAACATGCAGCTTCTTCTTACCATCAGCCTCAAACATCAAACACTTTCTTGGCTGGTTGAAATCGCATCAGATCCGTGGCCAGCACGATCTTCACTCAAGCAGCAGCCAGCCCTTCATTTGGGCCTTCTGCAAGCAAGATTCTCAAAGTCAAGCATGTGGTATTGACAAAACAGGCCCCCAGCAACAAATGACTCTTCTACTGGGTAACTGTACGAAAACGATGAATCAGTATAGAATTGCTATAAGTACGACTCTCAAGTGGTGAAATATTGTTTTATCGTCAACAGAGACATCTCATGACAAGCGCATCGTGCTCGGCTGCAAACTGCCGAAATGGCCACATAGAGTCATACACTGCATGGGGCTCCCTGTGCATGTGAGCCCCGTGCAACCCCGGCACGAGTCGACCGGCCGGATGACACGCGCTTGGTTGGCAAAACCCACCAGCGAAGTGATGGGATGAGGGTTCACACAAGCTCTCAAAGCTCTCAAAGCTCCTGCGGTGTTTCACACAAGATCAATCGAAAGGAAGTTGCCCGGATGGGGATGAGGGCATTAAAAGCTACTTATATGGCTTATTGTTGGGAGCAGCAAAGCAGCATTGCATTTGCATTTGTTATCTCTCTTGCTCTTTCCCTCTCTGATGCAGTGGCCGTGGTTTTAAGATGTTTTAAGGTTTTTGAGCATCTTCTGATCTCAACGCGCAGCGCCAGGCAAAGCAAACTCCAACCTCAACCTGGAAGACATCTGGTTTTTCATGCATCTATTTTGCTCATTGAGATTCTGGGTTTCACCATGTTTCATCAGTTTCTTGGTCCCCTCCTTCCCTAGCCCTCCGCGCCGGAGCGGCTTCTTAGAAGCCAGGGAAAATCCGGCGACCGCGGATGGAAGATTTGGGGTGCGCGACAAAGACGCACCAAAGACACTCGCAGCAAGGTCTTTGCATCTCAAAGGTCGAGGACGTCCAACAACCTCAAGCAGCGCTGGCGGTGCCATCGGCTGATCTAAGGAGATGTTTCGTGATGTTTTGACCCTGGCTCCAAAATGGAAGGGTTGGTCGAGGAGTGTTGGATGTAAATGAGTTCAAGAGAGTTCAAGACTCAAGAAAAAAGGACTGAGCCAGTCTTGAAATAGTAGTCAGAGTCCAGGATGGCCATGGCTCTATCACCGATGTGCTCCACCAGTGCCAAATGAAGTACAAAGGTCCATTCGCTCAACGGGCTCCCCAGCGTGTCGACGCTGCTCTCCAGGTCGGTGGTGGCATCGTTGGCCGAAGTGGCCTCCATGTCCTCCTCGCCCTTGGGCTTTGGAATCCTGAGACCGTGACTAAGATACTTTAAGGCCGGGTTCCGGAACTTCAAGAAAAGACGGCCTGTTTCACCTTGGAGATCCTGAGGGCATGGACCAACAGCTTGGCAACAGGTACACGTGCTCACCTGGAATGCCTAGGTGGGGTCCATCCACCCTTCACCCATTGGATTCGAAATGATTAGCTGAAACCCGCACGAAGGATTCTTATCGCTCAACGGGGTCACTTTAGAGTCGCAGGTGTTGGTCGACGTGCTCCTCTACAATTGTACTGGGTGGCAAGAATGCTTTTGACTGCACTCTAATAAATAACGAATATGTATATCTACATAGAATCATATAGACACACACACACATATATATATATATACAGTACACATTGTACATATACAGTAAGTCCTTTTTCTGATGCAGCGCGGCATGACATTTAATCCTCATTGAGGCCTCTGTAGATCTTGAGTCCTTCAATCATGCCCGAAACTGAAACCACTTGTGCTGCGCTTGGCGGAGACAGTGTAGAGTTCAAACATGTGAGGAAGTAGAAACCAGAAGGCCTCTAGGGATCAGGATAGATTTTACAAGCTGGCAATCAATGAAGGACTAATGTTACAAAAGCACCAACCTGCTCAGAAGCTATAAGCGCTTCTTAAACGTACTCTGCCAGCATCCGAAGAGCATAGAGAGTCTGTCGTTCAAGCACACTTGTCACTCTTCAAACCAATGAAGTATCCAACTGAACTTAGACTGGACAGGGGCTTCTGCTGGGGCCTTTCCGACCTGGAAACTGATCAACTGATTCATCAAACGGTTCCACCTCCTGTGCTCCCAGCCAGGCAGCAGTTTTTCTGGTCGCTCCCAATACATCGATCCAGGTGGAACCGGGTGGTCCATCGGCAGGTAGTTGGTGACCTGTGCCAAGGTGCACGGGACGTCCGAATGGATCGGTTCATCGGGGGATCTTGGTTTGGTCTTTCCTCGGTCTCCTTTCACGTGGGATGGGTGATGTTTGGGGTGTTGAGAACGGTTGGGATTCTGTTGCCTCTCTTCCCTCTGGTCTATCAAGAGCATAGTGGCACTGCCTCACAAAGGCCGCATCTCTGACAAGTATATAGATCCCTGACAATCCTTGGTCAACAATTTCATAGGATCTCCATTACCAGGATCACTCACAGAAATGCGCCCTCAGTAGAAAACGTTCTTGATTGGCCGCCAACTATCTTTGTGAACTCTGAGAATCATCATTCTGATCTGCTGAATGCTCAATCAGCACCTATAGCTAGCCTACAATGATCCACGCACCTGACATCGCTTGCATCAAACTTGCATTCACCTGCCTCATACCAGCCCTGCGGCCTGCTCCAACAAACATCGGCTGCTTGCTTCACACCCAGGCCTGCTTCGACGGCACAGGTGGCTTCTCACATCCGGCGCTCTGCTTCAAGAAGGTGGAGGCCTTCTTGCTGCGGTCAAACCACCCATGCACCTTCCAGCGGGGCGGGCCACGGTGCGGGTTCGGCGACGGCTGCGCGGGCGTTGGAGGCGCCGAGGTCCCGCGGAGTCTGAGGGAGCCGTTCATGGCTGCCGGAAGGAAGCAACTTTTAAGAAGAAATTAGGATATGATAGGATATGAGTCATGAGGTCAAACCAAACATCGCCCATTCCAAGTGCTCTCTCAAAACGTTGAAGTTGGACATGTCCGCAATGTCGTTTCCTTTCCTTCTTTTCCGTTTTTTTGCGTCACCTGGATGGATCCACCACCCAACCCCTCCGACCTTCTCCAAATGGGTGCAAATCTGGCTCCGGGCCGAGCTCTCTGGCAGCGACTTGTGCGAGATGTTCACGTCCTTGGAGCGACGCGACGCCGCAGGAGTGCCGCGGCGTCGCGTGAGCCAAGCATTCCCAAGTCGGGACAGGGAGAGCCCAACAAACATGAAGAACATCTGGGTTTGAACACTGTGGGTCTGGAAAGTTGGTTTGAACATTTTAGGAATACCTTTGAACAAGGCTGACCTCTAGGACACCCCAAGGTGTTCTTTTTTCTTCCGGTGTGCTTGTCTGGTCTCTGGTACCTCCCGTTAAATTTCAAGCCTGAAACCTCATCATCCAACCTGGACATGTGCATTGCATCATCTCTCGCACTCCGCCTAGTCACCTAGCCGGGCAGAATTCTCCCTGCGACCAACCCAGAATGATATGACAATGAAAATGATATACGTTGGATCCATCCTATTACCTGTAACAGTGAATGATTACGGTTAGTAAAGGCCTTCTTCAAAAATGATGCTAACTGCTTACCGACTGTTACAGGTAAGAACGGACAGACCCATGCCAATATACGGTACGTCTTCCAATGACTCAGGCTACGGCCACCATCAACCGCCGCAGCCAGCGATCCACTTGCCGGTCATAGCCCTTCGCGGCCTAAGCCACCGACGCAGGGCGCGGGGCTGGGAGTTTTCCGTGTCTCACCGGGCGTTTCTGTGGGAGGAGCTACAAAGGAGCATCATACTACGCAAACCTAGAAGCTCCTAAAGCCATACAGCCAGATTCACACGCCGGCGTCTGACATCTTATTCTAAGACCGGCACTTGTTTTTAGATGTTTTTAGAACATTTTAGAACATCCTCGCTCTCTGCTTCGTGCGAAATCCCCTTGGGTCGGCACCTCGGTGTCATGCCTTTCGTGCAGGTTGGGCATGGAGAGGTTCTTCGGCAAAGGAGGCGTCCGCGCTCGGCGCGCACCCAGCCCCTCGGCCTCCTTCAAAGCGCGGTCGATGAACATCTTAGGAGCCCCATCGGCAAAGAGGGAAACATGATGGTTTGCCCACACACTGGCTGATTAGCCGTAAAAGGAGACGATCTGAACACATGCACCAGGGGTTTACGCTGGCTCTTAAGGGCATCCGCTCCATGATCCACCTTAAACTCCCCCAATTCGTCACAGGAAGCTACAACTGGAGGGTCGACTGCAAAGGACTACTTCGATCCATGAAAAGAATTCCAATGGATTTTTTTGAGGTGTGCATCTCTAGGAGTCAAGCAAACAATCAATTTAATCAATCAAACAAACAAAAACAACGAACAACGACACCATCAACGAACAACAGAACCCAAAGAAACAACAGTATCAGTCGAAATACTCATTTTCCACTTGGATCGATTCACATGGAAGTGGACAAATCCCCTTTGTCGAGGAAAACGTCTTCCAAGGATTTCCAAGGGATCATTATCCACTTCCATGTTAGTGAGTCAGCGGCGCTGAAGTAAACCTCCGGACTCCTAAACTCCACCTACACAAGTAACTTCATACCATGAGACTAACATAGATTAGGCACCTCTAGATAGATAGTTCGACTAGTCCCTACATGTTGATCTCTGCGGCCGCGATCTTGATTCACTCACCATCCACTATGGGTATGTTATGGTATGTTGGTGGGGAATGGCCTGCTAGTCAGACTCGTGCGACTTGTAGGGAATGAGGGAATGAACCACCCTGTAAATACCTCACGATCCAGCCTAGGTCCTTACTTTCGTCGCACCAGTCAGTGCCATCACCTCCACCCCAGCCGGACGCCCCCGCTCCTCCAGCGAGTGCTCCGGCGTGCGCCGCGCCAAGCGACGGCTCTGCTGCTCCGAGGTCTCGAGCCCTTCCGCTCCTTGGTGTGGTGTTCGGGCCACGGGAGGTATCACCCTCTCAATCAGAGTGGTGTATTGTTTGGCGTAAGAAGGATACAACTAAGTTGTATATCCAGTCTCCTTGTGACGACGTGTCAAATTCTGGTAAAATGGTCATGTCCAGAATGTTCGAGTCATCTTTGGAGGCATCTGCAAGCTTCTTTGGAAGCTTCAGCTGCTGGGCATAGGAATACCATTTTGCTTTCGTGGCTACGGTGGGCTCAACATTCCCGAGCAGTCTTTGGTGCAACGAATGAACAAAGGATGACATTATTGCCATTGCTCGCCTCAGCCTGCACCTCAGCCCTGTCAAAGAACCTGCTGAGATCTTCCTCGAATTGACTCGTGACAACACTCAATCTCTATATATATATATATATTATATATATATATATACGGCACACATGGCACATATTGCAACCGTTTTCGCATTCTCTTGTCACTCTCGCCCACTTTGGGACGTGAAACGGTGTGAAACCCAGAACTCCCGGGCCAATGCAGTGGATGCATTGGATAAGCCGAGCGCCAACAACACGATCTTCGAGGTCACTCCCCGTTCTCGTTGCCGTCATTCTCCAAATAACTCCGCAGAGGCTCTGGCGCGCTGCTCAGCCGCAATACTCGGCCATCGGCCAAAAGAAGCCGCAAATGATAAGCCTCATCAAACATGGTGAACCAGCAGGGTGGATGGGTGAGCAACTGGGTTCTTTGTGGGATTCCTGGAGTGATGAGATCTTTCCCTGGACCTCCAACCACATCCTCGGGGAAGGTGGTTAGACCCCCCAAACCCACCCCGATCAAAGGAGGTAGTTGGAGCCCTATAGGGTTAGTAAATTGGGTTGTTTAAAACAAAACACCAAAAATGCACTCTCTGGCCTCGAGGCCGCAAAGCCTTCCGATCTCCTCACAAAGCATGGCCGGAGTGGCCTCCGGGCTTGTAAACACCTCATGGCCAAACAAGCCGGGGCTCTGGACCCTGGAAAACTCGATACCGAAAGCCACTTTAGTCATCCAAAAAGCAGTTCTCTATGGTTTAAATCTAGCCCTCGATTATTTGCCATCCGATTTGGCTTTTTCTTCTTGCGCCCCGCCACCTCCACCAGAAGCTCTCCGCTCATCCGTGTGGCACAAACCTTGAGCTGCCCGGGGTCCTCGGCGTCCACCTGGGGCCGGTGGTGCGTTCGGCCGCGACAGGCAGCACTAGCAGCACAAACCGCACATCACCTCGAAGTCCATGACTCATGGACTTCATGGTACCGTATGTACCGTGCAGTACCACTGCTGGAATCTGGGTTTTGCCCATTTGTTCATGAATCTTTGTCCATGATTCATCGCTAAAGACAACTGATCGGATGATTAGATTAACTAACCATGACCAACCCTAGAAGTCCAAAGAATATGTTTGGCACCAAAAGTAAAGCAAGTCTTTTTTGGGATGTTGCAAATTTTTACATGGTCTTGAGTCTTGGACTCCCAAGATTAATTCAATGATGTCCATAACGCTTGATATTTTCTTACTGGAGAAGTGGGATTTCGATAGAACGAAATAAAACTAAAACAGGGAATGAACATGAACATTATCTTCCTTGGCACCTCTGGCAGTTTTTTTTTAACGTTTGTTGATCAAAACATATCAAAACTGAACATTCTTAGTTTGCATTCTCCCGAGAACGCTCAACTGCCCACCTCCAGGCTCACGTTGGCCATGATGCTCCGCGCATCTTCGTTGATCCACCGCTGTCGACAGCCTTTCGCCTGGTCGAAGAGCGCCACGTCTAGCTCCTGCGAGATGTGCTGGGCGAAGACCACCTGGCACCGGTGACCGGATCGGGAAAAAAAGGATCCAAACAATCTGGCTGACTGGGTATATAGCTTCGAGAAAGGACTGTGCAATGCAAACAGCCAAGGTTCTACATGGTCCTACTTTAAAGGAGCTCAAAAAATCAGAACAAGCATCTGTAATTGATTACCCTCAATCCCGGAACTCATCACCCACCCTTTTGTGGGGGATGAACACACACACTCGAGAAGACACACACACTTCGAACTTGGGTTTTCAGTTAACGCAATTGTCTCGTTGGGAAGGAAGGCGATGGAACAGCAAGGTGAAATGTCCAGGCATTTGAAGGTGTTTGAACATAATTGTTTCAATCGCATGACTGCAGCGGCAAACTCAAAGTCAGCGGAAAGCGGCTGAAGGAAGCTGGTTTTTGGGGATTAGCATGTGAAACCACCATGAATCAAATCGTAAGTGGAAAAGCTTGAGTAACAGTTTCTGGTGCAGGTACGTCAGCAAGCGTCCTTGCTGATATCCTCAGGACACTGCAGAGAGCTTTGTTAAGTGGAGCTCTGCAGGCCTGCTCCACTCCCCTGCTCATGTAGTATAGAAAGAGTGGTGGTGGAAAACCCTTTGTCCAGGGTTGGACACACACAGGTCGCCGCGTTCGGCGCTGTTTTCAAAAACCGGTGGCAGGCGTGATAGTTATGCCCCTTTTGGACATATAGATTCACAAGTTCAGCCGCGCCAGCATCAGCGCTGGAGGGTGGAAATGTGTATTTTCGAATGGTGTGAAGTCGTGATTGGAGGCCTGATAGAGCCAAGCGCTGGCTCCCGGCAGTGGTGGAATCCCGGATTTTCCAGGGTTGAGAAGGTTGCATGTAGTTGATGGTGCGTTGTGGGAGGTCGATGTTGAAACCGAGGAGATGGAAATCCTCCACCGGTTCTAGTTCCACAGGGTCGCCAAAGAAATTGTGGTGGATAAGGGTTTGGATAGCCGGGTGTTGAAGGAAATGTTCGTTGTGGACAATGAAGCGGTTGTCGACATAGCGATAGTAAGTAAAGTGGAGGTCTGTGTGTTGAAGGAGGTTGTTGTGGATCTGATGCCAGGAGTGCTCAATGAGAGTGATGGCAACGTTGCATAGGGCTGGAGAGAGCTGGGATCCAATCCCGGCTCCTCGGATTTGTTTGTAAGTGTTGTTGCAAGCCCGGAAAATGCATGTGTTGAGGGCGAAAGCCACGATGGTGGTGATGTCGGAAGTCTGGATGGTGCGTTGAGTAGGGTGTTTCCGATGGTGTCTGCCAATGTGTGAGTGGTGGAAAGGATTGCCGGTGGCCTGGACATCCACCGTTAGGGTGTGTGTGGATTGCTGTTGTTGCCAGTGGTGGACGAGGGAGTGGACTGCATCGATGAGTCGGTGCTGGGGGACGGAGTTGAAAAAACCGACCAGGTCATCGTTGGTGGCGTGTAGTGAGATGTCTGGTGGGGTTTGGGTGAGGTAACTGTGAAAGTGGTGCCAAAGCTGGGGAATGGACATTTGGCCTGGATGTTGAGGGTAGAGGTGTTGGAGGATAATGTCAAGGGCACGGCTGGTGATGCGTAGCAGGTTGCCACTTAGTGATTGGAAGTATGATATGATTGTACGGCCTTTTTGCCAGTGCTTCTTCTCTTTGAGGTGGACAACCCCGTAGGGGATGTTGAAGTCTTTTCGGAAGCCCCACTTGTAGCGGGTGCGCAGGATGGAGGGGACTGTGGCGGCCAGGTGGTCGTGGATGTTGGCGGCAGTGATGTAGGGAAGTGGTTCGAAAAGTTCGGGGGATTGCCAGGTGTTCAAGGCTCCAGTGAAGTATCGTCGAGGGCAAAACAGCCGAAGTTGTTGGAGCTCATGATCGGCATGGTGGAGCAATGTGTGTTTGCCCAAATGTTCTTGCAGTTGACGAAGCAGGCGGGCCGTAAAACGGGGTTGCTGCTTGAGGTGTGTGTTATGAAGGCGCCATTGGTGCTCAAGGAAGGGTTGTAGATGCTGAACGAGGGATGGTGGAAGCCCTTGTAGTTTGAGCCATTTGGTGTAGGCCGTCTTGAAAATGAGGAAGTAGCGAGCTTTGCTTGGGTAATAGGTGCTGTTCATATTGGCGTTGAGAAAAATGCCGAGGTGTGTAGGGAGTTGGAGTTGGTCAAGTGTAAGGATGTAGTGGCCGTTGATGGTAGGGGTATCGGGATCCTGCAAGAGGGTGCGCAGGTGATCGCATGCACAGGGAAGGTCTGCTGGATCTGGTGGGGAGTGGAGGGTATCTTCCCATGTGCGGTGGTTGTGCAGGTGAGAGCGGAGGGTTTTGTGGGCGGCTTCTCGCAGTCTGTGGGAGGGGAGGTGGAGGGGAATGGTGAAATGCTTGTGCTGCTGGATGGTAGTACGAAGCCACTGTTGGCAGTGCTTGGTAAAGTCGTCATGGGCCAAGAAGGGCACTGTCAGTGGGATGTTTGGTTTTGGTGGCGTGAGGTTGCGGTAGATCAAGGCTTTGTTGAGGATGTGGAGGGCTCGGCTGCGGCCGGGTTCTTCCAGGTTTGCGGCCATGCGCCGGATTGCATAGACTTCGAGGTCCGTGTGGCGTCCGCTTCGTAGCTCTTTAGCTGCTTCAAAGGAGGCTGCGGTGTGTTTGGTAAGGTTGCGAAGAAGTTGGAGGGCGTGATGCTTAGTGGAGGTGTAGAGGTGTGGTTCTCTGAGGGTGTACTGGCGTTGTCGAAGGCGTCGGAAAAGTCGTTTGTGGGTGGCTAATCTGGAGTAGAAGTGGGCTCTGTGTTTCGCGAACTGCCATCCCTGAGCTTTGAGTTTGAGGTGGTGGGAAATGAAAGGCCAGTTGAGCGGAGGCATCCAGTTTGCGATGTAATGGTGCTCTTGGATCCAGGCTTGGTCGTATGTGTCATGGGAGGTAAGTTGAATAGTGGTGTAGTGGTGGATGTTGTTATGTGAATGCCAATAACGTAGGGAGAGTTCTGCAGAAATGGGAATGTTATTTTGGAGTTGTTTGAGTTTGGCGCGGCGATTATGCTCGCGGTGGGGGATGCCAATAGCTGTGGAGCCAACATAGAAGTGGCCATGCTGATGGTAGCAGCGTTGGGGCTGGTCTGGATTGAAGTGGAGCTTGATGTAGACTGAATTGGAGGAGAGGAAGTTGTGGTAGTGGTAGGTGTGGGGCAAAATGTGGAGCTGGCGGAGGCGGTTGCGCCATTGTTGTGAGCGACGGGTGTTGGAAGGGTATGCGAAAAGGAGGGTGATATGGAGAAGGCCGGTTGCAAAGATGGCCTCGGCACGGTCGATGTATTGGGTGCGGTGGATGAGGATAGAAAGTGCTCTGTGCAGGTGGAAGAGTTGGGTGAGGTTGGTGTGGCTGGGTTGCTGCTGGGCCAGAATGGCGAGTCAGCAACCGATGGCTGCTCCAACTCCCACCAGCTGTTGTAGGCTGCGAATGGGGAGTCGGTTGACCCGGTTGAGGGGTAGGCCATACTTGGTGGCTGCTTCTTTTAGCTGCTGCGTGGTGACTTTGCTTGTTTGCAGCAGACGGATGACGTCCTTCGCAGCTTCTTGGATGGTGGGGTCGAAAGTAGTGACCCATTGTTGGATCTCTGGGTGGTTCCAGCCTTCGGGGATATCGTCTTGCAGTGTGGGGTGTGGTGGTTGCAAGACGTCGGTGAGGGCTGGTGGTTTCGGTGGTGGTGGAGTGGGTGCGTGAGATGGGGCGGCTGGTACGGAAGATCGGCTGGTGTTCTTGACTGGTGTAAGTGGGTTGCCCAGGTCTTGGAGTTTCTGACGTGCACGAGCCAGTTCGTCGTTGGTGTTTTTGAGGGCGCGTAGAGCGGAGCCTTCCGCAGGTGCTGGAGAGTGGGTTTGCAGTTGGTCAATAAGCAGTTTGATGAGGGGAGCGTGAAACGCTCGGGCATGGGTGGTTTTGTTGGGAATGTCTGTGCTCTGTTGGGTGTGGAGGGCCTCCGCGATGCCGTCAAGGTCAAGGCGGTTCTCACGGAGTTGTTGGAGAAAATGGGTCACGAAAACTGACTCCGCTATGCTTCTGGTGGCAATAAAACCTGTGAATTTGCCGTTGCTCAGGGTACGGGCGGTGAACTCGGAGGTACCGTGGTAAGCCAATTGCCACGGGAAAACCTCAAAGGTGGGGAGTCCTGCCACACCTGCTTTTCGAGACCACTGGGTGGGTTGGATTGTACGATGTAGTTGGTGGCCGTGCAGGGTGTTGGAGTCCCAATGTTGCTCGGTTGGGTTCCAGAAGTCGGGAACAGGTGGTGTGGGGGATGGGATGTGTGGGGGCGGTGGGGCAGGCGCTGTGTTGCCACGTGTGGTGGGTGGTGGCGGTGGGCTGTGTTGGAAAGTCGATGGTGGTGGAGTGACGGGTTTGGCCGTTGGCAGGGGTGGCGGTGGCGGAGGTGGAAACTCCGGCTGTGAGGTGGATGCCTGGGGTGGGGGTGTATGCTGCGATGGCGGTGTGTACGGTGGAGTCACATACGGGTTGGAGTGGTGGACGTGGTGTGTACGAAGTGCGTGAGTGAGTGGGCCGTAGGTGCCTGTGGGGCTGTAGGCGTGGTGTGCGGTGGTGGGAGGAGAAGTTGTGGTATCTGGGTTGGTGAGCTGCTGATGATGTTGCTGCATCAAATAATGATTCCAGTAGTATTGCTGCCACTGCGCGTCCATGGTGGCTGGGCGAAGTATCACTGGATCGTGGGCGTGGAGCACCGGTTGTTGATTTGAGCAAGCTGAACATGCGAGAACAGGTCGGGGAAAGTCAAATGAGGGAGCAACAGTGGCGTTAAAACAGTCATGCTGTCGGAAACGGAGGGGTCAAAAGAGGAAAAACCCCGAAAACCGCTGAGAAAAAAGGAATGCCGCAAAAAACCAGAGAGGTTTTCCATGTGGATCCAAAAACCATGGTTAGTATCAGACTGTCCACTGAAGCGCGCTGTTTTTTCGTTGTGCGAAGTGAAACTGAGCGTGTTGGTCTGCGGAGTAAGCTGAGCCAATGTCCG